GGGGGAGAAAGGGAGAAGGAGGGGTGGGAAGTAAAAAGAGGGAGGATATGAGGTGAAATCACCTTTGGGTATCATCATCACAAACCCTCTTCTCTTAAACCAACCCCGTCTGCCCTCTGCTCACCCCTAACACCCGAGGTTAGTTCAGTTCTGCTCCATTAACTCAGCGGCCGTATCCGCATCTTCCTGTAAAGGCCAGCCGCATACATGTACATACACATGACCGGCTGTAGAGGAAGCTGAAAGATGAACTCGACTCTTTTCACATGACTGTACTTGGCAAAACCTAAGACGTGCAACAACATGAAATGCATTCAAAATTTGCTGCTCACTTGCCTACAAAAACAGGCAGACTCTTTACACTTCCTTCAATCAGAAAACTCTCTCTCTCTCTCTCACTCTCACTCTCTCTCTCTCTCTCTCCCCCCCCCCCCCCGCCGCCGCACTGACACAGACGCTTCGAGACCCTCCGACGCTACTGTTTCAGTGTGCACTCACAGTCTCCCTGCCCTCCCCCCTCTCTCTCTCTGTGGACTGGACTGCCTTTTGTTCGCAGGGCCGTGAAACCCAAGCCGTGTCAGCCGGTAACATCTTTCACTCTCCGGGCCCCATTGGAGCATTAGCTGAAACTCGATATGGGTCTTTTCAAAGCTTCGTATTATTGGGTAAATATGGGTCACTTTGGACTGGCCCATTATGTCGCTTGGGGGGGGGGGGGAGACGAGTGCAGGTGATGAAGACAACTGAATGACACAGTATGACAGTGTGCGTGTCAGACTGAAATTGCCACAAGGGAATATGACAGGGGTTTTCCATCAGCATTACACACTGAAAGGAGTGATACATGCTTTTTCAAAGATGACCATCTCAGCATAAGTGTCAAATTTAGATTCTTTTTTTTTTAATTCTCAAAAGCATAATAGAAGATGAAGAGCTTGCATTATTTTTCAAACTACTCATACCGTCTGCTGTAACCCCATTTATTAAAAAAAACATGTGGATCAGAACTGTTCAGAGCCAAGTTGGCCAACAGCATTTTTCCACTTTGGTCTGGAACTCTGAATACCTGGGCAATGTCTCCTGCTAATGCTAATAACGGTCAGAGATTTTCCTGACGGGACCCCGAAAGTATTCCCCACCCCGGCTGACTGGAAAACGCCGCACAGCCGCATCTCTAATTCAAAGTGAAAAGATAAGTGGCGAAATGTTCCGGTGGGGTTCTGCTTGATTTCCAGCTGGGAATGTGCGGCTCCTCTTTATGTTTGGATCAACGACGCTGCAGCGGAACGGAGGGTGTTTGGGTTCTTTAGGGAAATAGCAGCGAGGTTGGGACTCTGGAGGGAAAACAGCCGATATCAGACGGAGGCGCGGGCTGCGTTGGGCCTCTTGTCTAGACTCCATGTGTTGGCTCGAGTTGGATTAAGAAGAGATGTGGAAGCCCGGGCTTGATGGAAAAGAAAAGAGGCCTGTAATGCTACAATGGTTATTTCAGCAAGCAGACACTTAATCAACGTACAAACCACAGAGCAGACGCACAGGACAATGGAGCAATCTGAATCAGTCTTAAACAGCGCTCACTGTAGAATTACTGTATGTGGTTTGGCTGCTTTCATACATAAAGACTTAATAGTTAAAATAAGCCAAACTCAAGCTAAAATGGCTCCTTCAACAGAAACTTGAGGCAACATCTGTATGAATGGGATTTTCTGAAAGAATCAAGAGAGTAATGTATAAGTCCGGCTGCTTCTTTCACAGCACCCTCACTGATTCAGGATCAGCATTTGCTTTTACTTCATAGACGATGAGAGGCGTTTTGAATGCAGCTCGTCTTTAGCATGAGTCATAACCCAAACAGGGTACGCTGACTTTCAGGCAGTTGGAGAGATGAACTCTGTATTCTGTTCAATCAACAGTGGACGGAAAAATCTGCAAAGATAAATCAATAAAACCTACCCTACCTGAGACCGTTCCAAGGACTGAAGCCTCATTAGCTATGTTTATCAAAGCGAATGAGCTTAGACTGGTGTGTTTCCGTGCACAAAGAGGGCATCTGACAAGCACAAGGAGGGCTATATCTGAGCAGAGGCTGCCCCATACTTCTGAAAGGCTTCTGGATGGCAGTGCGAATGTCCGGAAGTCTTCCTTTAGCGCTCTGCTCCGGCAGCGGTTGAGGATTCCTGGCCTGGAATTGATGGGGGCTGGAGGAGGGTGGGGGAGGGGGGTGCAGAGCCACACACCTGCCAGATGATTTGTCATTATAGAGGGGTCAGCACTCAGCTGTCACCCCCTAATCACCCATCCTACCCCTTAAGTCAACCCCCCTTTACCCCCCAAACTCCACTCCAGTCCTCCGAAAACACCCCCTGCATTCCTCAGGCAGCTCCGGTTTCACTCACAGCACTGCTGCCCCATCTGCCCCTCCTTCCTACACTCTACCCTGAGAGAAAATGTACCCCTGTGAGAGACACAGCACACTGAGCGCATTGTGTATATGTGCGATGTGAGCTTATGCCTCCGTGTGTGTGGATACACAATTCACGTGTGTGTGAATACATGTTTTTCTAAGGGTAGAGCTGTTTGTATCGGTACCGACGGCGAACAGATGGAGCAGAACTCCACCGGTGGAGAACGTGTGAATTGGTCCAGGCTGCAGTCTAGAAACAAAACCCCCGCAGACAAGCCAAACACAGAGGACTCTCACAGGTATACTATATCTGTCAACAGAGGTCTTTCATCACCATAGGTCACAGGTCAGTCTCTTTTCCATTGAATGCAGCTTCCTCTGGGACGTGCGAGTGTGTGAGACAGATCCTCAGCCATTAGCCTACCCACTGTCCATCCGATTATCTCAAGTTGTCTGTGAGTGTGTCTGAGGGGGGCTCAATACGGTTACATCATATCCTCACGAGCCTACAGACCCCTTATCCATTATCCTGTGTCTTATCATCACCATCGACGGGCTGAGTCTGCGTCCCATAAGAGAGGAGGTGAGGGAGGCGGGTGTAGCTAACACTTAGTTAAGGGGAGAACATGTTTAGAGTGTGAACAGAAGCTTTGGGTGACACTTGACATTAACGCTAATAGAAATACATTCTCATGTGGAGTGACTGACAATCTGTGAGCTGTCTTCAAGAAGGCAGCTTGTTGGTATCAGTGATAAAGACGAAGTGGTTGACTTGTTTTGTGTCTCTGCACAGATAGCACTGTGGAGGTGCCCACGATAAAGGCCTATTGTGCTTCTTGTGCCCAAACCTCACTTCCTGCTCCAAACGTCACCTGTCTCGACTCATCCAGGGCTCTCGTGCGTTGGCCCCGCACCTCCTCCGTCTGACCTGATGGGGGCAGTAGAGGTTGGCTGACTGGCTGGCCCACCGGCCTCACACCTAACCGCAGCAGCCGAGGGGCTTGTAGAAGCATCACACATCCAGCTAGCCACTTGATACAGAGAGCATCTTTCTTTCTTTCATCTCCTGAGCTGCTACTTGATAACTCTGCCCCCCTGGAGAGCTTAGAGGCAGGAGGGGAGGGGGGGCAAACCAGACTGAAGAGGGAGGATAATGACATGACATCAGTGTCATCGTTAGCCAAATGGCGCCGTAAAAGATGGAAGAACATATGCTGTTCAGTGAATGGCTGCTAGCACAAGGCACACCTATACATACATACACAGCAGAGGAGCCTTGACAGTTAGACGTAACAATCTGGGAATAGAGCGCCGACACAAAGAGGAAGAAAAGACTTTTCCCGGGGGGGTGGGTCGCCTCCACAGGTATCAGTTACTGAAGCACCTCAAGCACTGAGGAGAGGCAAAGATGGGAAAAGCGCAAAGAAGGGGGGGATGAAGGAACACAAAAAGACAGGGAAAGGTACAGCAGGGGGAGGATCACTATGATGCGATAATTCATACATCATAGTGGAGAAGTACCTCTTACCATGAGTTGTGCGTGGCAAGTCCCCA